GAGAGGGTCCAGAGGAGGGCCACTCGTATGATCAAGGGACAGCAGGGTAGGTCCTATGAGGAAAGGTTGCGGGACCTGAACCTGTTCAGCCTTCAAAAGAGAAGGCTGAGGGGGGATCTTGTGGCCTGTTATAAACTGGTTAGGGGGGATTAGCAGGCGTTGGGGGAGTCACTGTTCCCCCAAGTGCCGCAAAGAGTGACCAGGAACAACGGTCACGAGCTGGCGGAGGGAAGGTTTAAGTTGGACATCAGGAGGCGCTACTTCACGGTCAGGGCGGCTAGGGTCTGGAACCAGCTTCCAGGTGAGGTGGTGCAGGCTCCCACCCTGGGGGTTTTTAAGAGGAGGTTGGATGACCACCTTACTGGGGTCGTTTGACCCCAGTACTCTTTCCTGCCATGGCAGGGGGGCGGACTAGATGATCTGCTCAGGTCCCTTCCGACCCTAGAAACTATGAAACTATGAAACCGAGATACTGAAAAAACCTGCTGCACGCAGTAAAACTCAGCAGATTAGAGGCTTATGCAGATACACAGTGTTGTCTATCTTGCAGGGGATTCCCTCCATATTTCAAAGATATACAGGCATATGCAAGAATAAACCATGACTTTATATGGGATTCTCATAGTCTGCAAATCCCTCGGTTTGTTTACACAGAGTAAAAAGTGGCACCAGCCAGGATCAGCAACTTTCTGGGAATCCAAAATGGTGTTCCTCAAGAATCATTACCAAGAACAGACTATGTTAGGAGCCTTTTGCTGGGTATCCCACAGTTATGGTGGTAGGTGCTTTCCAGTGTCCACTGGCAGTAGGTTCTATCTTTCTGGCCTATGCAGCTACAATTGCCCATTATTAGTAAGATACCTGTGTAGGTAGTAATGGCCAAAAAGAGCCAGTGCCACAGGGACTCATTGACACATGCTAGTAAAGTCTGTTAGAACCAAAGAGCAAAATGCTGTGAACATCTGGTTTGCAAAAAGCATGTTCCAACTCACGGCTGCTGGGACAGAACAGTCCCTACTCCCGCTCCTCCTGTTTGTGGGGCTGATGCACACTTTCCTGTGAACTAGCAAACCAGCTCTCCTGGACTTTCAGATATTGCCCCAACTGGTGCCCACCCTCCACAGAGGAGGAAGATGAAGCCTGACTAGATCAGGAGCAAGGAACAAGAAAAAACTGGCTCCAGGCAGAGTTTGGGAGAGCAACGGAGGAAGGCACAGCATGCTGGGGAACAGATTCAGGAGCACACACTGTTCAGGAGCCTGTTACTGAACCTTGGACTTCTAAATCACAGTATTCCTTTAAGTCCAGCAAATAGTTGCACAAAAATCAGGGATGGGCAGTGAATGAGGCTATTGCTTCCATGAGCCAGCTTCATGTAGTACAGAAGCTGGAAGGTGAAAACCAGAAAGGATGCTCTCATACTTAAGGAATTTGAATAGTTCTTCAGAGAACAAAGTTCTATATCAGTCTCTGCGTGAGGAGTCCTAAGCAATGCTGACCATAGTTAAAGCAGACTTCCAGGCAGGCATCCAGCAAATACCTGTTCCTCATTCCTAGGGACCCATCTTGGGACACCCAGAGTTAGTTTACAGAAGTGCTGAATACATGGGAGATGACTGGACTTGTGCACCAGAAAGCATTGTAGAAATACTAAGTACTCTGAACAATTAAGTGGCCTCGAGTTTGCCACCCAAAATGGGTAGCCCCTTGACAATATGGCTTTAATAGCTTTGTTCCTCATCTGTAAAACAGAACTAATACCACCTCTTCATTTCAACACACACTGAAGTTAAATTATATGAAAACGAGAAACAACTCCCTATATTCACTGTGCAGTGTTTGCATATTTTGCAGTAAACAAGACATAGGGTTACACACTGATTGATGAGGGGGATAAAGGAATATTCAATAGTTATGCATTAATGGAAAGCTACTTATTTTACACAAAGAATGGAACAGGGTTCTACAGAAGAAATAGCATACACTTATGTAATTAAAGACTGAATCAGAAGGCATGCACAGAGAATTGTACTAAATTTGCATTGGCCACCTTGGCTTTGGCATGTCCTTATTTTTGACAGCTTAATTTTACAACCATCACATACGCAGGATGTCACTTCTGTCTGTAGTCAGGTATGCAGACAATGCTACTCAATACTCAGCACAGGCCCAGTGGAAGAACAGATGAATATGTTACTTTATGCTTCTGTAAGCAAATTTTCTACTGCCACTAAGCATTTACTTATATAAAGGCATGGAATCTATAACAAATATTCTTAAATTCAGTGAAACTCTAGCCCCATTTATGTCAAAGGCAGAACTCCCAGCTAAATTCAGCCATGTCAAGATTTCCTCCTGAATGCTAATTCTTAAAGCAGAAAGATACAATACAAAAGACAACCACCTAACAAAACCTACGCTAAACTTTCAGGTGAAGGTCTGTACCTGCACCAATAATTTATGGACCCCTCTTTCTTACTCTTTCTGGTTTCCATTCACACCTTTATGCTGCCACATCTTTGTTTACATTGTAAAATCCTTTGCATGAGGAACGTGTTTGTTTTTGTCTCTGAAGATAATTTAGCCATTAGAAAATAAATACCCAACCAAGAAACAGTATGCCACTCTTAGCACTTCTGGCAAATAACATGGTTAAATACTTTTAGATTGTATTTAACAAAAAATCCACCTTTAAGAAAAGCTCTCCAGTATATGCATTGTCTTCCCAAGCAGGAATCTAGAGCCTGCAGCACCTGAGGAACCAGTATAATTCAGGTACACCTAGGGAAGGTAGATTAAAGCGTGTACAAAGTTCTAGGAAAATAGCTATGACAAATAGTTATGACAAAGGGGAGCCCTGCAGGGAAAAAAATTCCCTTGAGATTGTGTTTAATCTCCACTTTACTCATTGAAAAGTGGTCTAACTATTCAGCAGAAATTTGGGGCATAAAATTGGAAAAAATATTCTAAAATACCTGCTCCAGCAAGTAAAAGGACAAAAAGGTATTCAGTGTCTCTCTAATCAACCCACTTTAATTTAAACCATTCCTGAAACTCAATCCTCTTGAAAATTATAAAGAGCTCCAATCCACAGTAAATAGTGATGTAATTATGTTTTCAGCTTTAACGAGAAGACAGCAGTTCTCCAAGTACACAGTCATTTTAGACAGTATTACTGCCTAAAATACTCCCCTAGATTTAATTTTCCTGAACATCAAACTAAATGAACCACATGTTCAATATGTGGTTTGCTTCAGGTACACACAGTGCCACTTGCCAGTCAGGAACAGCAAATACTTCTTTGAAAATAAATATATTTCTATGTACACCGTGAGCCAGTTTTCACACTTACCTAAATAGGGAATAGTAGGGACCATCTTTAAGCTTCTGATGTATTCCCGTGTCCTCTTATAATTATCTTCCTTAGACAGTAAGTAGTCCAACTTCTCAAAGGTGGCCTTGTCTTTGCGATTCAGAAGCTACAGAGAAGAGATGAAGCAGACTTATTAAAATGTTTAAACAGATGAGACTGTGCAAAGATAAACAGCAAATATTAGCTGTAGAGACTGCCACAGAGTACAGAAACCCATAGCACAAATATTAAAAAAAACCCCAAAAACAAGTGTTTGAGAATTTGTTAATGTTGACATAAAACACAGTTTTAGCCTTAACTTTGAAGCTGAGTACAGATTCTTAGAACTATTTCTATGTACTTTGTGAGGGACCTGTTGTATTATGACAGTAACATGAAGATAACATCATCTCTGTCCATTAAAAGAAATATGTGAAATGTTACTCTGCTATTAATATTATTTGATAGTTTAACATAATGTATTATATACTTGTTCAGTTTAAAAATTAAACCAACACTGAAAAAGCTCTATATAAATGCAAGACACACTATTTCAGCAGCTCCTTCTTAAAACAAAGGTGTGCCTACAAATCTAGGCTTGCTAAAACCCTGGAAGAAAATGCCTTGAAAAGCATTATGATATTTACATTTCTAGTTAACATTACTGAACCTTTGCTACATAACCCTGCAAAGACACACAGCAAAAAGCAAATGATTCTGAGGTAGCAGAAAATGGAGGTTTATAGATTATAAACATCCTATAGCTTTTTCAAGTTGGTTTTATGTACCTAGGTAATACTTTTGAATCAGAACTAAAAAGCCAGCTGGAGACAGTGTGAATGAAGGACTGTGACACTATGGACTGTTCAACTTTGGATCCTTACTCTTGCATTCTCTGAATCAGAGAGCTGCATAGTGTAATCTGGACAACTCTCACCCAATATTCCTACTTGTGTACTTAATAAAGAACTTACAGTCTCCTTTCTTACAAAATCACGAGACTGGCTTTGGTGCTCAAGGGTCTAGTCTTGCAATGGACAGTGCACAAGTGGATTCCTTCCCTTAGGCAAAGCCATAGTCAAGTCAGAGGAACTGCCTGTGGGCAGCAGTCAGCCTGCACGTTGTCAATAGGAGGAGTGAGACCAACACAATTTAAACATGTTACGTTTGACTAAAAAGAAACGATAAGAACAAACACCAGTTGGCAGTGATGTAACTCAAGGGGTGCCAGGAAGAACACTGAACAGAACATAGCAAGGCTGCAAATATTTCTCCCCTCCGAAAAAACTGTTTTTCCTCTTTGCACTTTGAATATTCATAAAACTCTCATTATTTTTACTCAGGGCCCTGACCCTACATTGTGACTCATTCAAGTGGCTTGCTGCATCTCCAGGGAGCTTCACAGACTCTAGGGCTCCACACAGACATACAGCTGCCCACATGGATCAAGGCCTAATTCAATCCAGTGCAAAGTTTCATTTCCAAGCTGGCAAACGTCAGTAATGCAAAAATACACTGGTACTACGGAACTTTACTATCGCTTTAGCTGAAATTAATTACAATAAAGTAATTTCTTACAAGATGTTTCTGATTTAAAAAAAAAACAGGATTAGAACAAAAATTTTTTTGCTTTTAACAAATGTCTGGAAACAGGATTTTTATTCCAGTTATATGATTTTTCACCCCGCCCCCCCAGCAGTAGCAAATCACAGAGTATGAAGACACCGTTTTTTTTAAAGGATTGGAAACAATGTATTCTCTCAGGAAAAGAGGAATTATTTTCTTTTTCTTTAGTGGAATTCTAAGCATTTGGCATTCTAAATTAAAATCAGGGTTATTCACATCTTTCATCTGTTATTTTTCTAAAAGGCATTGTGTATTCTATACATGGATACTTTGAAAACAAGTGCTAGTAAGTTAGGACTTTAGACAGATCTATACTGCACACTCTGAGAAACTTCTTTGGTTGTAGCCCTGCAATCAGTTATGTATGCTTCCAGTTTTGTGTTTGAAAAAGAATCCCATTATTTTAGTTCCCATTTTTGTACCCTTCCGGGACAGCTTTTTTAGGTATGTGTTTAAATACTCTACTAGATCACAAGCTTAATTGCAACACATCACACTTAAGGACAGTGCCCATAAAAGAATAATAATAATCAATGAATATATGAACATTTTCCTGAACACAACTAATGAGTAGATAAACGGTAAGTGCAGATGCCCACTGGTAAGGAACCAGTGTATCTCAGCTCATTCTGACCATTTGCCCTCAATATTAGCAAGCATTTCATTTTCCCAAAAATACTGAATCAATCCTTGGATTCTGCCATGACACATGAAAATGGACACGGGGCAGAATAACCCACCCAAAACCCTCTCTCATTCAGTCTCTTTCTGTTCACAATGTTCAATTTTTACCTGAACACACACTGCATGATATGGCATGCAAAGGAGGGTGCAAAGAAGCCTACAGAAGGTAGCTTGGTAGTAAGGAGAACCCATCAAAATGAGCTGCAGACCCAGCCTGAAGCTGGCATATTTCTGACAGGCATAGGGAGCCCTCTAAATGTGCCTGTTACCCTACCATTTACTTTGGCCAAAAAGATATACATTTTGACAGAACGAGTCCTCAAAACATACCCAACTCCCTCATTGTCTCCCTGGGAAAGGCAGATGATGAATATCATGGGGACAGCATCAAAATGGGACTGCAACCTTATTTCTGCCATTCGCCCCCAGGGCAGCACATTTGAAAGATACAGTCAAGCATAAATGTAATATCTGAACCTAGAAAGTTTTCACTGAAGGAAACTGGACTTCATTTAGGAGTGCACGTTGTTCATCTGAAAAACAAAAGGCATTATTGGTCCTTGAATATTATCCTTTGACTTGAGGAAAGGTCCCACAGAACATTTCAACAAAAACAATGTGTGGTCAGTTTACAGTATTTGCAAAGTTTTACTGGGCACTGCACCATGCAGATTAAGAGCAAAGCTCTTAAAATACTTAGTTATGCCGTTTTTAATCTTACTAATTTTATTTTGTTTCAAGGTCCCATGGGCAGGGTATCTAAAGTGGACACACATGGAGCATAGCCCAGACACTTCAGGTAAGTCAGATTTGGGGGTAAAAACATTCAAAATCCTTTCCTCTTGTCTATTGACTTGATTGCATCTCTCCCCTCTCGGATCCCTTCATCTGCTATGGGATCAGATTTAAAAACAGGCCATTTCCTTTAAACCTGTCTATAAATTTGATCCTCCTGACTTGTTTCACATGGTTTTTGTTCCCCTGTGCACTGCCAACACCCCATACTTTCCCACCCACCAATTTCAATTAACTTCTCCAGGCTTTTTGTCACAGGGCCTCCTACGTATCATTCAACTTCCCTGACCTCATAAATTCATAAGATGTAAAGTCAGAAGGGAATATCAGATTATGTGACATGGCTTCCTGCATATCTTTAGCCACAGAACTACTCCTGGGACTCTAGCACTGAGCCCAATTACTTACATTTTCCAGAAAGGCATCTAAGTCTAGATTTTAAGATGGAAGGATGGAGAAGCCCCATTCCCCCTGTGGTTAACTGCACTCGGTGCCTCGTTTCCCGTTATAGTGCGTCTCACTTCAGCTGGTCACCAACCTTTGGTTCTTGGTACCCCTCTTTCCGTTACAGCCTCTTTCCAGAGCCCTTTAGTACAACAATGGAACAGTAGGCTGTGTGTTCCTGTCCCAAGGTGCACCTACACCCACACAGAATATTTTCAAAGACGGGTTGTCAGACTCCCTGGTTACTTGCTCCTCACAGACGGCCCTGCCATCCAGTCCCCCATCTGTCTTCTTTTTGGCAAGTTAAACTGGTCAAGCTCTCACTAAGGCTATAAACAGATGCTGTCTTCAGAGTGGGATTACCTGTGTCAGGCTTTGTCCCAGCACAGCCAATCTGCTTCACTGGCATCTACACACATCACCTGGGACTTCAGGGGCTTGATACTGTCGGACAACAGCCTTAGGCATCATGCCCTGACCCAGGATGAGCCTCTCCCCATGCCCATAGGGGCTTTCCTGCTTGTAGAGGCGTGCCCCAGGTTGGGATGCAGCAGCATGATACACATGCCCTGGGAATCCCTTGCAGGGGGCTCCTGGTGCACGTTTCACGCTGCCATGCCCCACATCTGTAAGCGGGGAACCCATAAGCGAACAGAAGAAGCGGCTGCCATGAGAAGGCAGCACAAACTATTACTGCAAATTGTCACGGCCATGATTCTGCACATTTGTGCCCTAACAAGGAGCCCAGATGTCTATTTGCTCTGAGTTTTGTGCCACCATAAATCTGTTATGGTGGCACAAGGGGGCGGGGAAGGTGTCTCATTGTCAGGCATTTTCTCCATTTCTTAAATAATTTTTCTGGCTCCTCTCCAGTTTTTTTCTTAAGATGTGAACATCAGAATGGTGCAGTGTGCCAGCATCCATCTGACCAGTGCCATAGACAGAAAACTACATTGCAAAGTTCTCCTGCAAACCACAGTCCAAAGTATTTTTGGATTATACAATACATCTTCAACAAAGAGGAAAACGAGAAATCTGTACATTTGGCAACTGATCTTGTGCACACCAATGATCAAAGTCATGCCACATAATGCTACAAATCGGAACAAAAACAAATAATTTGAAGAGTAGGATTACTTCAGAATAGAACAAATGCTTTTTACTCAAAACATAACCTCTCTCTAAACACATGCACCAAAGAAATCCCTACAACTTAGGTTTAGAACTGGCTCTCAATATATAACAGACTGTCTTGAATAACTCACTTCAGAAACTGGGTGATCCATAGCTGCAAATTCTAAGAAACAGACTTAGGATTTGGGAGAGGAAGGGGGGAAGATGGAGGGGCAGGCTGCAAAGAAAGAAAGTTAGCGTTCACAGATTTTTGGTAGCCTGTACTGCTTCCATTTGTATTTAATGCATCAGGTTTCCAGTTTCACTGCACTGCACTATCAGGGAGTTGTTTGACCGCCTGTTTTATACAATAAATCAATGAATTGTTCTAAATCCTAAGGCTTCTTAAGTGGTTAAGTCCTCTTGCTTAGCTGAGCCAGCTGCTGCACTCTTTGTGGAGTGTTA